GGTTGGGAAGGAAATCATTTAAGTTAGATGTGTACCTTTTTATCCTAACATGTCAGATGAGATGTTTATTTTACTCTTGACTAAGTCAGTGGAAAATACTTTTAGTGAACATCTTCCTTCCTCCATTAAGTATGAGAAAAGCAGAACCTTACCAGAAATTATACATTTACTGTAAAATCATGAATCACTGAAACTGGTTCAAGCTTATTTCAAATAATAATTAAAAAAACAAAGAACTGGGCCAGTAGCATCCCAACAAAATGTACTGTATGGTATTTTCGTGAAACCAGTCTATATATAGTTTGGCTACAATGATGGGATGAGTATTAGAACCGCTTCATGACAGATTAAAGAACTCCATAAGCTTAGAATTAATATGAAATGACCAGAAAAGAAGGAATAAAAACTGAAATCACTGTGGAGATTCACATTTATGAATCATGCATGACAACTCTATAAAAGTTCAAGAAGGAATAAAAACTGAAATCATTGTGGAAATTCACATTTGTGAATCATGCACAACAACTCTATAAAAGTTCAAGAAGGAATAAAAACTGAAATCATTGTGGACATTCACATTTATGAATCATGCATGACAACTCTGTAAAAGTTCAATCTTAGCAGCTTTAGTTTTTAAAAGAAGCCAGCATATCATATTTTAACACAATTAAAAAAAAAAAATTAGATCTGCATCGCTGTATTTTCAAACACACACACAATTAGTAATTGTTTTAGTGTGGGGTGAAGCAAATTTATAAGCTACATAATTACATGAACATTTTTCCTCTTCAGTCATATGTTTTCCCTGCTGTTTTTATAGGCCAGCTCAATAGCAGGTTAGTTATATCTCAAATCTAATAATAGATTTCTAAAGCTTTCCAGCTATTCCAGTACTTTGTTAGTTAAAATCATTACACAGTGAAGTTTTACCAAAATAGGATTTTTTTTCTAATAGTAGGAAATGTTTGTGGTATGGTAAAATCCAAGATAAATGAGATCAGCAGGATTTTCCGGGCATGTCTTTAAAATTAATTGCAAAACAAGAATAAGTCAGGTGGAAGGAATGGGTTTATAGAAATTGTTTCTCCCAAAACATTTGTCAAGTTGATAATTTGAATAAATTTAAACCATATAATTACTTTTCCTGTTTTTTTGAAACAAATTTATCAACAAAATGTAACAGAATGCATAGATTATCAAAGGACAGAGCTTTTCAACCTTAAAAACTATAATGTATTTTCAAAGAGGGCATTTTTATCTGGCTTCACTATTAGATTTAATCTGTAACCTTTAAAGTGCAGATTTATTGGTTTGGGAGGGATTAAATTAAATGTTTACACTAAAGGATCCAATGCCTTGAGAGAGGTATCTACTCATAACTTGCATTTCTTGTGGCAATTATATTTTAAAGCCACTAACAGACATTGGATCCCTCTGAGATTTTCTTTTTCATCACGTTGAACCACTGCTAATCAAAGGCAAGAAAGCTAATTGCTGAGTTTCATATGCCAGATTCCTGCAAAGTAATCTATATGAGATACTTCCTCCTCCTCTTCTTCCTTCTCCTCCTCAGAGGCACACATCCTTTCAACAGATTATTCCACAGACTCCAGATTTAGCATTTGGGTGGCTTAATTTTTTAGAATTTACATCAGTTGTGAATGGAAAGGAAACCCTATGATGTGGTAAAAATGTTCTTTCTTCCTATTCTTCTGATAACTTGTTTGCCCGAAACCGTTTTGTTATAGAAGTGCCAGAGTATTTTTCAGTACAGTGTCATGCTCTGACAGCATTAATATTCTGCCAAATATCAATATATAGATGATCTGTAGAACCTATTCCATATATAATGGTGATTTAACGGCTTGCAGTATATGCAGTTAAATTGGGCCCATAAAAGTGGGAATCGCATGGCAGGCTAAGTGGGCTGTGGAAAGGGAAGGGAATGAGGTTAAGCCTATGGCTTCATGACAGTGTTGCTCCTCCTCATAGAACTCTTCATGTTTACCTTGGAGTAAAGGATTTGGGGCGGGGGGGCAGATCCACATAGCTCCATGTTGGCCAATGGGTAGTGAGGAGGCTAGTTCACCCATTGACTAATGCAGCTCCCTGTTAGCAAAAGCATAGACTGGGCCAATGGGGTTTTCAAAGATCAGCAAGTCAACCCACAGGCTAATGGCTCTGGGGAGGCCAACTGATAGATTAGGTTGAAGGGAGTCTTTCTCCAAAGCAGAATTCTATTTGGCTATGTGGTGATTTTTGTATCCAGTATGTTTCTTTGAGATAATCTTTAATCTTAATGTTTAATGTTTAGTTCATGTTCATTCTGAATGCACTGTTTCACCATCTCTTTTTGCAGGAACCCATCTCCAGTGTTTAGGGCTGAGTTTTGGGAATATCCAAGCCTGATTTTATGTTGCTCCCAAATTCCTTAAATTGGTCTTGATTGTATGCTTAATTGTATAGTTTCCTAGGAATAAACAAGTGACAAAGTGAACAAAATTGGACTTTGTTCTGTGTGACTATGTCTATATTCTGGATCTTTTTATTAACTGGTAAACTCTAATAGTTATACATTACTGATTGTTTATCACAACAGAATGGTTTCTACACTGTCACTGGCATGGCAGTTCTCAATGTAATAAAATTTGGAGGAGTCTTACTGGTTTCAGTTGGACTGTACAGTTTTATGATGAGTAGCTTTTATTATTAATGGATCTATTTGCACAGGCTCATGATGTAGAAAGAGGACAGGGAGTTCTGGGATAGCATGTTTGGGGGAGGAATTTTGCTTCTTAAAAGAATTACACCCATACCCTCTTCAGAGGCATCACATTGTAGAGTCAGCTGTTTCCCTAACTGGTAAAGTTTTAGGACATGTTTTTGATTCATTGCTTTAATCTCTCAAATTCTTTTTGTTGTGGCTGCAACTCTATAGTCTGTTTTGCTAACTGGCTTTGTGGCTCTACTTCATCTGACTGTATCTCTACCTAAATGGATTAGATTTGGGCCAGAAAGTATATCATTCTCATATCACACTGAATCAATTCACATTCCTTAGCAATGGGATGATTGGCTGGTGTGGGTCTTCCGGGCTGTGTGGCCGTGTTCTGGAAGTTTTGTTTCCTAACGTTTCGCCAGCATGTGACCGGCATCTTCAGAGTGCAGGAGCAGCACAGACAGGAGCAGTTCTCTCTGTGCCCAGGATGATGTGACCCTTTTGTGGGTATTTTTAGAGATCTGAGGGGGG